AAGAAAGGTCCCTTATCTGAGACGGTCTCTGTCTGCGTAGCCTCTACTCTTAAGCCTTTGGGAGTAAAATGGCCTTACATCTGGAGATTATCTCCTACCCTAAAAGCCTGGCAGTTGCTGTCCTGTTCTGATAAAACCCTCTTTCTTCAGATTCCTAGATTGTGAAACAAGACACCCCCGGCCCTCAGCCCTAGTCTCTGTCAGCCTTAGTCAGCCAGATGATGTGGGTGTGGGAACAGTTCGCCAGGTTCCCTGAGAACCAAGGCATAGGAAGGTCTCCAGCTTGCTCCTTGTGTGGGGATCTTTTGTGTGTTGGGAACAGATAGAACTTTATGGCTTTCCCAATCATTTACCCCATAGAACTCAGCTCTCCAAAGTGGGTCAGAAGCAGAGTCCTAGGACCTGAGGGCCCTGACTCCATGCTCTAGAACCCCACTGTCAGATCCAGTGTAAGTGGCAGACTTCTAAACAGGACTCTGGAGCACTGACCAGGGACCCGCTTGTCTGCTTAACATTTTACCTGAGCCTCAGTTCTGGTTTTTGCTATGTTTTTCCCTATTGGTAACTTCTGATCTTCTAATATCTGACTCCTGTATTAAAGTAAAGGAAAGAGCCTTTGGAGCTAGAAACTTCAAATCTTTTCTCTAGCTGTGTGACCTTGGGCAAGTTACTTAAACTCCATATGCCTCAGTTCTTCTGCAATTGAAGAATACCTACATCATAGGTTTGTTGTGACATTAAGTGAGATGTTGGTTGGTTGGAGTTCCTGGCATGGTCAGGGTTGAACAGGTGACTATCTTTCCCCACCCCAATCCCAGAATTTAAAGATTATAAATGTATAAACTGCCTACAAAAATATTGCCAAAAGGTACTTAAACAGATTGACTACATTAAAAGAATGAATTACACTGGCCATGATCATATATGTAGTAGTAAGTCTTAAATAATAAATTAATCAGAATCCAGAGGGTAATATTTTCAGTGGTGCTATCTTTGGGGTTTCTCTGCACTGGGGAGGAGGGGGCTGGGTGAATGGAAGGAGATCTTAGACACTGCTTGGGGCCATCACCAGTTGTTAACCTGCAACATTTTGACAACATAATCCTGCTTAATTCTAGTTTAGTTTGACTTCCTTTTCTTTTTTTAAGTTGGTGAATTCAGTGTTGAATTTAAATCTGCATTGACAGGCAGATGAATAAAATCATTTGAAGGGGGATTTATTCTTTTGGCCCATCATATACGAGCCTGGATCATGTACATAGAAGAACTCTTTTTTTCAGGCTATCAGAAATTGCTAATGATCATCTTGCTTCTTAAATGCGAAAGCTGGCTACTTTATCACTAGGTTGTGGTAATGTTTGTAGGGCATAGCAGAAACTCACTTTCCTGGGAATGCTTGAGTTTGCCAGTTCAGCCTCTTTTTCTTCTCACTCCCCAGATCTCAATGCAGGTTGGTCAGTAAGGGACAAGGAGAAGTTAATTAATGAAAAAGAAGCCATCATCAGCAACCACTTATTTATTTATTTGAGATAGGGTCTTGCTCTGTTGCCCAGGCTGGAGTGCAGTGGCACTATCATAGCTCACTGCAGCCTTATACTCCTGGGCTGGAGCAATCCTCTCACCTCAGCCTCCCAAGTAGCTGGGACTCCAGGTGTGCACCACTATGCCCGGCTAATTGTTTTTGTGTGTGCTTTTGTAGAGAGAAAGTCTCACTGTTGCCCAGGCTGGTCTCTAATTCCTGGCCTCAAGCAATCCTCCTGCCTCTGCCTCCCAAAGTTATGGCGAAGCATTTTTTTTGCGACAGGCTCGCTTTGTTGTCCAGGCTAGCGGAGTGCCGGTGGCATCAGCTAGCCTCACAGCCAACGCGCGAATTCCTGGGCTCACGCAATCTGCTGCCTCGTCTCCCGAGTAGCTGGCACTACGGCATTGCGCCACCATGCCAGCTAATTTTTAGTAGTTATTAGGTTGGCCATTATTCTTTTCAGTTTATAGTAGAGCGGGACGGTCTCGCTCTTGCCTCAGTTTTTGCAACTCCTGAGCTCAAACGATCCACCACCCGGCCTCCCAGGAGGCTAGGATTACACAGTCTGGACCCCTGGCCACTTTAGTGTATTAGATATTCGTGGTAGGTGTAATGCTTTGGGTTAAATACTGCCTTGCACAAAGGAATTAATAATCTTGTTAAAAATAAAAAGGACAAATGCTATTAAATTACATCTGAGGCTGGGCGCAGTGGCTAATGGCCTGATCCCTAAGCACTGCTGGAGGCCAAGGGGTAGGACACTCGAAGGAGATTCGAAACCGCCTGACAAGAGCGAGACCCGTGGCTCTACTAAAAAGAAGAATTAATGTGCACTAATATATAAATAGAAAAAAAATACTGGCATGGTGGCGCATGCCTGTTATCCCAGCACTAGGAGGAGCTGAGGCAGGAGGATCGCCTGGAGCCCAGGAGTTGGAGGTTGCGTGGCTAGGCCTGATGCACAGCACTCCACTCTAGCTCGGCAAACAGAGAGACTCTGTTCAAAAAAAAAAAAAAAAAAGACAGGAGAGGAGAAAGAAATATCGCTGAGTAGTCACATACAAGCGATGATCATAGAAATCAGGAAGTTATAGGAGTTTTAATCATTTATTGTTAGTTTGAAGGACAGAGTCCGGAGGTTTGTCCAGGCTAATGCGACATGGCATATCGCCTAAGCTCATAGAACCCTCCAAACTCCTGGGCTCAATCCTGCTGCCTCAAGCTCCCCAAGTTAGCGGGACTACAGGCATGCGCCACCATGCCGGCTACATTTGTTATACTAATTGTGCCAATTATTCTTCTATTTTTAAGAGATGGGGCTCTTGTTCTTGGCTCAGGGCTGGTTTGAACGTTGACCTGACCTATGAATGTCCACCCCGCCTTGGCCTCCCAGATGCAGGATTAATAGGCTGAGCTACCACGCCCTGCCAAAAAGAGTTTTCTATATTTAGTAATTTGTTGCATTCACTGAGGATCATCCTTGATAAATATTTAGAAATGTGGATGCTTCCATGCTTGACAAAACAGGTCTTGGGTATTTGATCATGGCAGTATCTCCAGTGCCTAGAACAGTGCCGTGGCACACTATAGGCATTCAGTGGCTGTGGGATGAATGAATGGGACACGTCGCCAAGAGAACTGTAGTGCCGGGTCTGTTTGTTTAGACAGTGCAAGACCAGAGGTGGACCATGAGGGCTGAGATGCGTCTTACCTCAGTTGGTTCCAAATTAAAATGCCACATGGGCTGGGTAACAGTCTCATGGTGTGTAATCCCAGCACTTTTAGGAGGCCAAGGCAGAAAGGATTGCTAGCCAGTGTTCAAGTCACCGGGCAACATAGTAAGACCTCATTTCTGCAAAAATAGAAATTAGCTGGCGTGTGTTGGCATGCGCCTATAGTCCAGCTACTCAGGAAGCTGAAGCAGAAGATCCTTGACCTAGGAATTTGAGGTTGCAGTGAGCTGTGATGTGCCACTGCTCCTAGCCTGGGCAGCCAGAGCAAGACCTTGCCAACAAAATAACAATGTCAAGGTGTCAATAGGGCTGCTTAAAAAAAAAAAATAAATAAAGTTTTGTGTTCTCACTGGTCCAGGAACAGAGGAAATGAAAGGTTGAAAGCAGCCTTCTGCCATACCTCTGGGTGGCCATGCCTTGATGTCAGCCTGTCTGTCTGGCAGTTTGGCCTGTTTGTTAGGGTGGAGCAAGCGATGGAAGACTGCGACATGTCTGTGAGATACTTATCGCTGAGAATGGCTCCAGTCCTCCAACACCTGAAGCAGCTGAAGCCACTTCTTTCTACATCAGCCTTGTTTTCATCTGTATACGGAAAACAGCCAAACTCTGCAAAATAATTTTAAAGAGATTACTCGAGCAAATTAGATCATGACCTGAGGCCACACCCAGAGCCTTGAGCAAGGACCTCCGTGGTTGGTTCAGTATTGTTGTTATACATTTCAGGGAGACCGGGGTTACATGTAAAGTAAATTCAGTACAGGGGAGGTACATTGGTGTTGGCCGAAAAAGGTGGGCCATCTTAAGTGGGGGGTGTAGAGTAGTTTTAAGATTCTTTGACTGTAATTGGTGAATGACTTGAAGCTTGTCTAAAGCTTGGAATTTTTTTTTTTTTTGAGACAGAGTCTCACTGTTGCCCAGGCTAGAGTGAGTGCCATGGCGTCAGCCTAGCTCACAGCAACCTCAAACTCCTGGCCAAGCAATCCTCCTGCCTCAGCCTCCCAAGTAGCTGGACTACAGCATGTGCCACCATGCCGCTAATTTTGTATATATATTAGTGCCAATTAATTTCTTCTATTATAGAGACGGGTCTCGCTCTGCTCAGGCTGGTTCGAACTCCTGACTCGAGCAATCGCCCGCCTCGGCTCCCAGAGAGCTAGGATTACAGGCGTGCCACGGTGCCGGGCCTGCTTGAATGTTTAACATAGGAGTTGTTTATCTGGGATAAGCCACCAGACATATATTTGTTATGTAAATTGAGGACCTGCAGGTTTGTCTTGCATACCCTTAGGCCTGTTAATGGGTTACAAAGGACGTCTTCAAGAAGGGAGGGGGCGCAGGGCGCTGTGGCTCTCGCTTGTAATCCTAGCACTCTGGGAGGCCCAAGCCGGAGGATTGCTCAAGGTCAGGAGTTGGAAACCAGCCTGAGCAAGACGAGACCCCATCTCTACTAAAATAGAAAAAATAATTGGCACAAAAATATATAGAAAAATCTGGCATGGTGTGCATGCCTTAATCCCAGCTACTGGGGAGGCTGAGGCAGGAGATCACTTGAGCCCGGAGTTTTAGGTTGCGTGAGCTAGGTGATGCCGCGCACTCTAGCCTGGGGCAACAGGTAAACTCTGTCTCAAAAAAAAAATAAAAAGGGAGGGGGACATGATGAGGCATGTCTGACCGCCCTTCTTACGGTGGGCAATTTAGTTTTAGAATATTCCTTTGGCCATGAGGGGGTCCATTCAGTCAGCCGGTGGGGGTTGAGCCTTAAGATTTTATTTTAGTTCACACTCTATAGCAGTGAGGGTGCAATCCTTGCTTTTCCTGAGTCTCAAGGAAATGGCTCAGCCAGCTTGGCACATTCATTTCCTAGTCAGGGAAGTCGAGGTGACCTTGACCGTCCGTGGGGACCTGCAGCAAGCCCTTTGTGTGTTTTGCTGGATTCTAATGATCACAAAGTACTTTTGGCACCTCACCGTGCTGTGAGTGCTGTGTGCTTCTAATTTATTGTCGGGGGAGGGGAGGTCAAATTGCAACAATCAAATTTCTGACTTCCATGGGTCATGTCTAGCACAGTATCACTGCCATGGAGGCCTTGGATAAATAACACAGACAGAAAATTGTTGCAGAAAATAAAAAGATGAGATACACTCGCTTTGAGGCATGGAAATTGTAACTAATTTGCAGCCTAAGAAGTTATTAGAAAGTAACTTTGGATTTATAAAGTTCCTCTGAAGATTGTTCTCAGTAGTCATTTTTGCATACCCAAATGCAAACTGGGACCTTTTGTCCTTTGCTAGTGTTGTCTTGGTAGAGGATTCAGGCCCCGCAAGAGCTGCTGTGACCTGGTGTTTAAGGGAGAGTGGCCAAAAGAGAGTTGGGTTACACCACCAACTAGGAAAAGTCAGAGCAGGACGCCAGCCCCAGGGCCTCTGCCTCTTATGCAGAGCTTGCTGTTGGGGAACCCTTTTCTCCTTAAACTGAATTTAGTGAAGAAAGCACAACAAACTTAAGGGGGTGAACTTTCCTGAAGCGAGAGTTAGTTTAAATATAGACGATCTGCTTTTCTGGCAACTTGGAAGCTGCTGTGGGACTTGTTGTACCTTTTGTAAGACAAGTGAGGAAAGATGTTGGCACCTGTACACGCGCAGTTTGTTTATGAAATATAAACTCTCCTGTAGAAGTGAGGGCTCGAGAGGTCAGTGTCCAAGGTAGCATGTCCTTCCTACCGTAGCTGGGGAAAAGGTGCTTCTCCAGGCCCTCCCTGTGAATCGCCTCATTCCCTAGAGAAAGTTGGGAAGGCCGAGCTTAATGCGCTATTATTTATTGAACCCCGACTCTGGCAGGGGTGGGAGTGGAAAGGTTTCTGGGAAACTGTCCCTGGGCTTGATTTTCCTTTTCAAGGAGGAGAAACAATACCTTGGGAGCTATAGAGTCAGTCCTTATTCAGAGAAATGTCACTGTTTTCAGCTTTAGGGACTTGATTTATGTTCTCCTGAGCCTGGTCAGCTGAGGGGTGCTCTCGGGAGCAGGCAGCAACCCCCGCTGTGCTCCTGTTGCAGGCCCCGGCTCTAGGTGGGCCGGGCGCTGGGCACCGTAGATCTGCAGCACATCCTCCGTGCTCCACAGCAGCTGTCTGAAGTTTTTTCTGCTGTGCCTGAACTGATGTCATTTCCCTCTTGGCAGACAGCTTCAGCTTTGCTGCGTCTGAGATATGTCACGAGAAGGGGGGAGCCAGGCGGGGGGAGTAGCAGGAGAGCAAGAGGGAGCTGCCTGCTGGGTCCCAGGACTCTGTTTACTTTCTCTCCTTTGCTAAGGAAGGCGGGTTAACTGGCACCGTGAGCACAGGCCCACCAGGGGCAATGCTCCTTGCAAGACCTTAACTTTTAAAAGCCCTTTGTTCCAAACGTTAAGTGTGGACGATGCTCTGGCAGGATGCCTTTCCTTTTGGGTCTTAGACAGGTAATTGAATTGGTTCTACAGGGATTGGGCTTGGGAAGGGAAGAGGGGTGGGAGCTTGTGTATTGCACTACTGCTCTGGGTGGAGGGAGTATTTTAGAAAATGTCTCTCTGTTATCACAGGCCTGCTCCCACACAGAAATTCCCAGTCTTCCCTGTTTGTTTGCTAGTTGCTCCTCACTTTCAGAGCCACCGTGTTCTTAACCCCTCATTTCCGTGGGGTCTCTCTAGGACTGTCCAGTGTGATTTTCCACAGACACCATAAAGCTGTTTCTGAAGCTTCCTGGAGGAAATGGTTGGTTGAAGAGTGAGGCTGGGGACAGGGGAGGCAGGGTGGGATTCTTGCTCAAAATCCCTTTCATTCCTTCTCCATTTTGACTTGGCTAGTTAGTGGAGATTTCCTCCCGGTCCCCTCTCTGGATCTGAGGGGACTCCGGGTGGTGGTGGTGGTGGGGGGGGGTAGGGGTTCTGTTTTTCTTTTAAAGGGAAGCCTTTCTTCCTTTGAAGCATGTAGTGGAGCTGTGTGGCTGAATGACTTCCCGGACACCTCAAGGGGACAGGGTGTGGATGTGACCCCATCTTGGCCTTACCGATTTTTCAAGGCAAACAGACCCTTGTGGCAGAGATTTAATTGCTTTGCAAGCCGCTCTGTGAAGTAGGGGCTGGTAAATTAGAGTCGGTAACCTAGTGTGGAATGAGAAAACGGTAGCCAGCGACCAACTGCTGTCTGCTGAGAACACAGCTGTTGCCAACTATTTGTTCCAGGGCTTCTGAGAGTCGCACACCCCACCCCCTCTCCTGTCTGAGAGGCATGTCTGTATCAGAATGCATAACTGTAACCAGCAGTAAGCGGGGGTGGGGATGGCCACACACACCCTCTGCTGCCTGCTTCTGGGTGAGAAAAAGCCACAGATGAGCTCAAACCAGAAGCCTTAGAGTAGAGCTGCTAGGGACTGCGGCTTCACTCTCACTCTGAGAACAGAGCTAGGTGAGCAAATCTGCCTTGCAGGTACCTCACATTCTGTTAAAAGGAAGCTTCTCTGTAAAGTTCTAAACATTCCATAATGGCTCCTTGTTAATCTTCAGTGTCCCTTTGATGCAGCTGATATGCGGAAGGGTGCCCATTTTGAATACCTCCCCAACCCTCTAAGAAAGGCTGTCCTTTTAACCTTTGGGCAGGGTGAGCCCTGGGGAGGATTTGAGCAGCCTTGGAAATAGGACGGGTGAGGCACCCCATGCTATGTCAGCAGGCGGGGTAGGGGGAAACTGCCGACATAGTGGAAGGAGTGGGGTTGGAAGCTGGAGATACCTGCCTTCATATCTTGACTCCCCCAGCATCTTGGGCAGGCCCCTTAACAGCTCCAAACCTCATCTTTGAAATGTAGATAACAATACACCTAGTGCAAGAGGATTTCACAGAAGAATGTAAGTAAAACATTAGCACCTTGGCTGGCAGACAGTAGGCTTAACTATTATTTTTCTCATTCCTAAAGGATGCAGGACTGCAGGGGTACAGGAAACTAGAAGATAGGGGACAGTGCCTTTACAAAGGTGGTGTGTATGGCCAGCGGGAGCCCATAGCCATGGGGATGAGCTCTTGTATCGTCCATTTAGTGACTACTTTGTGCATTTACTTACAGCTGGGAGGCCCCCTCTTCTTGTACCAAGTTACCAGTAATCTTATGTACTGAGATGGCAAGAAGGGGAGGGCGTGTGTCCAATGCTCCCTGCTGAATGAAGTGGTGGGTAGCATGGAATTAAAATCTTCGAGGACAGTGGGGGTTGGGAAGGTTGTCATGGGAGCATCTTAGAGCAGATGAATCTTTAGCCCTCATTTCTGAACAGTTTCCTGGTAGAAGACTGAATTAGAAGACCTCTGAGGGCCCTTCCTGCCCTAGGCTTCTGTGATTCAAACCTTGCCTATACAAACTTGGAGTATTTAGTATTTTTTGTTACATAATTTTATTTCTTGTATTTCTGTGTCTGACAGTGTAACTGTCCTTTGTTGGAACCATGTAAAAGCCAGACTTCTAAACGTCACTTGGTGATAAATCTCTTTAAAAAACCCCCACAAAAATAATGTATACTATTAATCTCTATCATACCTTATGTGCTTTCGTTTATTTTTTTTTCCCCCTTAATCCATGTCCTATGTCGTATTACTCTATTTTTATTGAGGTGCAGGCTGTGGCTTAAGGAAGTTAAGCCATTTGTCCAAAGGTGCTCAGTTAGCTAGAGAAATGGTATTGGTGGCTGGGCACAGTGGCTCATGCCATTAATCCTAGCACTCTGGGAGGTCAATGCGGGAGGATCACTTGGGGTCAGGAGTTCGAGACCAGCTTGAGCAACATTGAGACCCCATCTCTATTAAAAATAGAAAAATTAGCCAGGTGTGGTGGCACACGCCTGTAGTCACATCTGCTTGGGAGGCTGAGGCAGGAGGATCGCTTGAGCCCAGGAGTTTGTGCTTGCTGTGAGCTAGATGTCACGGCACTGTAGCCTGGACAACAGAGCAAGACTCTTGTCTCAAAAAAGAGAAATAGTAATTGAAGTGTTTTTTTGTTTTTGTTTTTGTTTTTGAGACAGAGTCTTGCTTTGTTGTCCAGGCTAGAGTGAGTGCCGTGGCGTCAGCCTAGCTCACAGCAACCTCAAACTCCTGGGCTCAAGCGATCCTACTGCCTCAGCCTCCCAAGTAGCTGGGACTACAGGCATGCGCCATCAAGCCCGGCTAATTTTTTCTATATATATCAGTTGGCCAATTAATTTTTTTCTATTTATGGTAGAGACGGGGTCTCACTCTTTCTGAAGCTGGTTTCGAACTCCTGACCTCAAGCAATCCACCCACCTCCGCCTCCCAGAGTGCTAGGATTACAGGCGTGAGCGCCTGGCCTTTTTTTTTTTTTTAACCAGATCTTTTCCAAATCCTGGATTTTTCTCACTACTCAGACTGCATTGCTTGATGTCTGTGAGAGTAGAGTGTGATTAATGCACTGTTCTAGTTAGAGCATATTTATTTCTAGCCTGCCCAGGTAGGAGATAAGAGGCTGCTTGCCTCTTTATATGTCCATTTGCATTTTACTATATGGAAGAATCTCAGCTTGCAGCATCTACTGGAAAATGCCACTGCATGGAGATTTTGACTAATTAATGAATGTGGCCTGGCACAGAGGATACAAAATACATAAGCCTTACTTCCAGGGAACTTGTTCTCTAATGCAATAGATCTCAAAACCATAAAAATCACCTGGGAGTGGGGCTTTTAAAAATGTAATCGCTAAATCTGGGGCCAGGGACCAGGAATATGCATTTCTTTTAAGTTCCCCAGGTGTTTCTGACTCAGGTTGTTTCTGGCCACACTTTGAGAGACCTTCGTCTAGGTTTTAGTGGTATAGAAATAACTACAAGACAGCGTGCTGACACTGTGACAGAGGAATGCCCCGGGACTCGGAGAGCCCGAGGAAGTGTCTAAATCAGGCCTGGAGAGAGGGTGGATATTAGATCTGAGTCTTGAAGGATGAGTAGGAGTCTACTAGACATATGAGCTGGGGAAAGAGCATTCCAGACAGATCAGGTAGGGAGTGATGTTTTTATTTTCTCTTGCTTATGAGAAGGGAAACTGTCATTCATCTCTGAGTCTTTTTTTTTGAGACAGTCTCGCTTTGTTGCCCAGGCTAGGGTGAGTCCCGTGGCGTCAGCCTAGCTCACAGCAACCTCAAACTCCTGAGCTCAAGCAATCCTACTGCCTCAGCCTCCCGAGTAGCTGGGACTACAGCCATGTGCCACCATGCCCAGCTAATTTTTTCTTATATATTATTGGCCAATTAATTTCTTTCTATTTATAGTAGAAACAGGGTCTCGCTCTTGCACAGGCTGGTCTCGAACTCCTGACCTTGAGTAATCCACCCGCCTTGGCCTCCCAGAGTGCCAGGATTAGAGGCGTGAGCCACCGCGCCCGGCCCATCTCTGAGTCTTAATATTGAGCTTTCCTGGGGGAAGACAAGGACCTTGACTCACCAGGTATTGGTGTCTTTTGTGGACACAGAGAAGTAGGAAAACATTAGGGCCCTTCAGTCTAGTAATGAGTGTGGCATGATTTCAGTGTCTAAGGGCAGATAAGCCATAGCATGTGTTAGTTCTTGCATGCTAGGGACAGGTGACACAGCGTACTGCAAACTACAATGTTAACTAAAGGATGACCTTTTTGTGCTTAGAGGAGCCAAAGTTCAGAAGAAGATAGTCACTTAACTAAACTTTTTGGGTACGGCACCATATACCAAATTTTAGATACAACGGACAGTTAGGCATGCTATCTCTTATCTAACATGATCAGATAATAGGTTTTCTGGCTAAGAGAGAATCCATCATGTGTACCTAATAAATGGATTACTGATTTTCAGAGAATATGATTGCAACAGAATGTTCTTAGTCTGCTGATTTGAATGAATTCTATTTCATGTTGATCAAGGCATTGATTTAGTAATACTGAAGGATTCTTATTATCAACATTCTATGTCTGAAAATATTGTGTACCTATTCTATTCAAAGCATGTTGTGGATACCAAGAGGTATAAACTCAGTCCTTGCCATGAGGGGGAGTTTACAGTCACGGAAAGTAGAAAAAGTGCACAGGTAATTAGACAAGGCGGTGGCAGATGATATTAAAGAGGAATGGAATGCTGCAGGAGTTCAGAGGTGTGAAGAGACCACCCTTCTGCAGGTGGCCATTTCCACATCCGGTAATATCAGCTGTTGTGCTGTAGGTGTTAGGTGTGTGGAAAGACCAGTCGATGGTGAGTTCTAGTTAATGGAATGCAGAATGGATCCATAAAGACGGTAATTTACATCTTGCATCTAGGAATGTTGCCTCTCTCTGTGAGAAGGACCCCATCATTCTCCCAGATTGTCCACACATATGAGATTGGATGATCCCTGATCCTGGAAATGAGTAGTCTCCAACAAAACTGGGGAAGGCAAGGGAACCCTCTTAGAGTCCCTTGCCCATG